GTGCCATGACTGTCAACACCAGGGTGATCAAATACATCCTTGAGCGGACCCAGGCCCAATATGTTCAAATCCAGACCGGTCTCCGGTTGCAGGTCGTGCCAGACTTTGAAGCTTTGCCGTACTGTCAAAGGGGTCAGTCGGCTGCATTTGTTGCTTCACGAGGCATATTGATAGTGTGGCAAGACGACCCCAAGTTGACGCTCGAACGTGCAGAATTCATCATCAACTGCTTGATGAGGATGATGTGCGGCGCTGAGTATGGCTATGATGCGCAGGACTTGGAGCTGGAAAAGGCACTAGGCAAGAACCCCATGGTTATAATCGAGGAATACGACGACGGATTCTATTCGGGTGACGGTCAAGAAGATGAACCAAGAGACATGAAAATGTGGCAAGCAGCCTATTGCGGACTGTCAATCCTTCTACTGACGGCTGCTATCGGCTCTGGATGCAGGCAGATTGCTATTGAAGAGTTCCAAGCTCCCAAACACTGGCTTCGACTACTCTTCCTGATCTGTCTACCTGCCCAGGTTTGGCTCTCACTAGTAAGATATATCCGTACAATCTGTGTTTACGCTTCTGACTTTGCCAGTTCTTTTTCCAAGCTCTCGTCGGCAATCTTGCCCAGATTTGTGGGCCCACTCACCAGATGAAATCGAACAGCCGATATTATTCAGGCAAAGCGCCCAGGAAAATCAACCGTGATACATTTGGCAAGCCGCTCCCACACGTTACAGTGCAAATGCCTGTATACAAGGAGGGTCTACACACTGTCATCGAGCCCACAGTGAGATCGCTGAAGCAAGCAATTTCCACGTATGAGTTGCAGGGAGGAAGTGCTAACATCTTCGTGAATGATGACGGAAGTGAGTTCATGCACCAGTACATATCTAGCTACACTAATCTGTTGTAGTGCAACTTCTCGGAGCCGAAGAGGCGCAAGAACGACAGGAATTCTACGACGAGCACGGTATTGGCTGGGTCGCCCGCCCAAGGCACGATCCTAAAGGTGAGCACGGAGCGAAACCCTTCGTCCGACCTGGAAAGTTCAAGAAGGCATCCAACATGAACTATGCCCTCCGAATCAGCTGCAGAGTCGAAGACCTTATGGCACAACAGCCACGTGGAGAAGGCTGGAGTCAGCTTGAAGAAAATGCTCTTTACAAGGAGGTCATGGAAGCAGTTATGACTGAACATGAAGGCGAGGCCTGGGCCGATGGCAACATTCGTATTGGTGACTACATCCTTTTGGTAGACTCCGACACCCGTGTACCCAGTGACTGCGTGCTCGAAGCCGTCAGCGAGATGGAGCAGGGCCAGGAAGTTGCCATCCTGCAATACTCCTCCGGAGTCATGAACGTCACCAACAACTTTTTCGAGAACGGAATCACCTTCTTCACTAACATGATCTACACTATGATCAAATTTGCCGTGGCTTGCGGAGATGTTGCGCCATTTGTTGGACACAACGCTGTTCTGAGATGGGAAGCGGTGCAGAAGATCGCCTACGAAGTCACGGAAGCCAACGGTAACAAGTACGACAAGTTCTGGTCCGAGGAGACGGTGTCTGAAGATTTTGACATGAGTCTGCGACTTCAGAGTGTGGGTTATATCATTCGTCTAGCCTCATACAAAGGCGATGGCTTTAAGGAGGGTGTTTCCCTCACTGTGTATGATGAGCTTGCTCGATGGGAGAAGTATGATTTACCCGTTTCTATCTTCTCAAGCAAATACTAACACAGATCTTCCAGATACGCGTACGGCTGCAACGAACTCATTTTCAACCCTTTGGTCTACTGGCTCACCAAAGGTCCTTTTACGAAGCTCTTCCGCACTTTTATCTTGTAAGTACACCTTTCCGGGCTACGACGAGCCTGTCTTCGTATACGTTCCTAGCTAACCTTTCAATACTAGCTCCAACATGCCTCTTGCATCCAAGATTACCATCATGGCTTATATCGGTACTTACTATGCTCTCGGCTGCTCATGGGCACTTACTATGCTCAACTACTTTTTGATCGGTTTCTTCAACGGATGGCTTGATCATTACTACATCAACTCCTTCCGCGGCAAGTTCTCTACAATCCTTCACTGTGCACTTCTCTAACACCTCTCAGTATACTTCGCCATTGTGATCGTCTTCAGTGTCCTCGGCAACATCGCCCTCGCCGTCCTTCGTCATCGCATCGAAGAAGAAAACATTTTCCGTGGCCTCTGGACAAACATGAAGTGGATCCCTCTCCTCACCATCTTTCTCGGCGGCATCTCCCTGCATGTTTCACAGGCTCTCCTCGCTCACTTCTTCAGCTGGCCGCTCGAATGGGGTTCCACGTCCAAGGAGAGTGAACGCGTTAGTTTCTTTGTTGCCATCAGCAGAGTACTGAGGAAGTTCAAGTGGAGCTTCATGTTCTGTCTTGGAATGACCGCTACTATGATCACTATGGCGTTCGCGCTGCAAGAGGACTGGAGGATCAAAGAACTTATCGCTGTTTGGCCTATGGGTACTGTGGTTGTTTTCCACTTTTTACTGCCTATTGTGCTTAACCCGCAGTTGATGACATTTACCTGGTAAGCTTTGTTCGAAGAATGTATTGCTGGGAGGACGAAGAAAATTGCGGAGGAAATAGTAATTCACCCACGTGCTAATGTTTGAACTGTGTTTGGCTCTTCTGTACGTATAGGTACGACGTAGCCATCACTACAAGCAATAAAACGTCAAAACCCAGCTTTTGTGCCCTATTTGCATGTTTCACCCCTTCAAAGTGTTCTTCTTCTTGACACATCAAGGCTTTCTATTCACCCACACCAAGTGACAAACTTTTCGACAACGAACTCGTCTAGTCCCCATTGTCCGTTCTGCCGACCAAAACCACTTCCTTTGACACCACCTTGGCTCCCAGTCGGCGAAGTGTAGACCGAGATGCTGTTGGCATGGACTTGGCCGTACTCTAGTTCTCGCGACATCTTCATGAAGCGTCCCATGTCGCGTGTCCAAACAGTAGCATTGAGACCATACGCAGAGCGATTCGCCAGCGCGATGGCTTCTTCGTCTGAGGAAACGACGTATAATGATGCGGAAGGACCAAAGGTCTCTTCGTCCAGTATACGGGATGACGACGAGGGGTTGACGATGACCGTAGGCTTGAGCACAACCCCGCTGCTCGAAGAAGTAGCGTCAACGCCTCCAACGAGAACCTCGTCACCCTTCTCCTGCGCATCCCGAATAACATCCTCAGCATGCTTTGCGATACTCTCCGATACCGCCGATCCAGCTGGACCCTCGGCTCCCTTCATAGCTTCAGCGAGTAGTCCCTTAAACTTCTCCGCCACACCCTCCATTACGACGATCCTCTCGGTACTGAAACAAATTTGCCCATGATGCAATACCGCACCCATAGCACATTGCTTCGCCGCTTCTTCCAACTCTGCATCCTCGAGTACAATCGCCGGACACTTCCCGCCTAGTTCCATTAATACGGGTTTGAGGTACTTCGCTGCAATCCCCATGATCCTCTTGCCCACCTCCGCACTACCGATGAATTCAATTTTGCGAATGGCTTCATGCGCTATCAACGTCTCGGTGACTTCTGCTGCGCTTTCCCGTCCGCATTGAATCTGATTCAACACACCAGCGGGACAATCCGCTTCTGAGAAGGCTTTTGTAATGAGTCCGTGGGTTTTTGGACATAGTTCACTTGCTTTGAAGACCACAGTACAACCTACTGCGATCGCACTTGCTATTCCCCGCGTTGCAAGAACGAGCGCTGCATTCCAAGGCGCGATACACAAAACCGGTCCAACTGGTTCTTTGAACACAAAACCCTGGGTGTTGGGCTTCTCGGTTGGAGGAATAACGCCATTCACAGAACTTATTTGCGCAGCGATTTCGTTAAGGTATGAGATTGATAGGTTGACATTTTGACGCGCCCAGGCTTCTGTGCAGGATGTTTCTGCGATTTGCGTGGCGACGAGAGCGTCGGCGTGGGTGCTATAGTGCGTTGCGACACGTTGGAGAAGGGCGCGTCTAGTGGTGTGCGAGGTTGAACGCCATGATTTGAAGGCGGAGAGCGAGGAGATGGCGGCTTGAGTCGCTTCGGTGGAGGATGCAGAGGAGGCGTAGTGAGCGATTTCCTTGGATGTAGCTTGGGTTACCGGGATGGTGGTCTTGGTGTGGATGGGCTGGTTGTCGATCCAGAGGGGAATCGTGGAGTCCGTAGTGGAGGACATGGTAGGCAAACCTTTCTCCTAGCTTCGTCTGAACCGACGAAAAGTATACAATCGCTAGACCAGGCTGGATCCGATTATTAGAAACCCGATACCTTCTGGGATGTGTCTGTATTTCAACGGTCTGGAGTATAGCCGCATGGCGAACATTGCGTCATTGCAAGGCTAGCCGGCGCGAACGTTGATGCCGATCTTTACGGTAGATGAAGCAATTCCGCCAGTAAGGGAAATGGCATCGTGACGGGTATCATATAAATCGCTAGTGGCATGTAGAATTTGGAAGGATGCGATTCATGCTCCTTGACAAATCTATCGAGACGTAATAATGCATGTACGCAGTATAAAAGCTATTGAGAAGGACGCGTGGTTGTACATAGCCTCGGAGATAAGCTCCCGTACAACTCCGGCTCAGCAACAGCTTTGTCCCAACCGTCCCTCGACAGCAATCCTCACCACCAGCGTGGGCACAACAACTGTCGGAGCCTCGGGGGTGCACCAAGTGGCAAAAATCGCATATGCGTATTGATTACAGACTAATGTCATCGCTGAATCCTTTAGCAGCACCTCGTCCGCTTCCGCCCTTTTGCACAGCCATGCGCCCTCATCTATCGCATAAGGGCGAAGCTCCAAGGATAGTAGGATGCCTTGTGCTGTTATGCCCAGCATCGTGCATAGCCACCAAGGATCGCTATAATGACGGCTAATCCTCATCCAACTTACACAGCTAGGCCTTTGGTCTGCAAGTCGCTTCAGGACTACCCTTCGACCTCCCCAGAATGAAGCAGAAGACACTCGAATGGGCAGGTCCCTATGGCGCCTGGTGTTCAGTCTGTTCCCCAGAGACCGAAGAGACGCACACGAACCTCCCTTTTGGTCTCGTTACTCTCCCTTCAGAACCTGCGATGAATGCCGCTGGCCGGACTTCAGACCACCCTTTCAAGGACCTTCGTTCCGCCCGCCGCACCTACCAACGTTCCAAGAGATACCCTGAGCGCATCTATAGCGGCAACAAGCGTCGTCGCTCCGATAAAGCTCCACTCGCTCGAGTAGCAGCATCCAAGGATCCGTACAAGCAGATAGAAAGCCGAGAATGGGAGGGCGACTGGGACGCCGACTGGGCACCTGAAATAGACATGGAGCGCATAGACGACATAGCTGTGTACTACCTCTTCGGCAAGAACGCTGACATCTTCGAATACTACAATGAGGGAGACATAATGGCTGGCGAAGATTTCGGGTCCTGGGCACGACGGCGTATCGCAGAAATGCGACAAGTCAAGGAACATCGTATACACAGATACGGTGAACCTACAAGCCCTTCACCACTATCAGTCTTATCGCATACGATGCGCAACGATTCGCGTCCCGGTCGTACCAGCGCCACCATCCTCACAGCGCCCTACGCAAGCTCCCACGAAACAACCCTACCCACGAGTCTCTCGGATATTCGTGCGCACCTCACACTAGCCTGCGCCCTCACACCGTCCGAGAATCTCAGACAGCGCTGCCGTAGCCGCAACCTGCCAGCCTTGCCTATCATCTATGGTTTCGACTGGTGGGGCGAATATACTTGGCAATGGCATAGGAACATGTCTGGGTGTTGGTACCTCGGCTACGGGCACGCGTGTCAGGAGAACTGCGAGGAGCCATGCACACGGCCGTGTTGGGGCCATATGCTGTACGAATGCTGTTGTGAGGAATTTGGTGTGGGAATGGATTGGGAGGTGCCAGCGCCGGAGGATGTGCAGAGGTGTAGTATCGTGGAGTGGGTTAGTGGAAAATTGAGGGAGGATATGGAGAACGATCACGACGAGGTTGTCTGGGGGAGGCTACAAGGAACAGTGAAAGAGGACGAACAGGGTCCAGAAGCTGATCTTGGTCAAGAGCGGGAGTATGGGAACTACTTCGAAGATGAATATGTCATCCTAGGAAAGAGAGACGAGGATAGTGATGCATGGAGTCTCATCAGCAGTGTTGACGAAAGGTCTTGTTCATAAACAATGATATGATTGAAGACTTCAACGAGCATTACCTATGCAAGTCGATCAGACTTCTAGCTTCTTCTCATCAACAAAACCGCCCTTTGCCCTCTCCGCTCTCTCGGCAGCCTTCCTCTTCTTCGCATCCACTCTCTCCCTGTCCTCCCTCATCTGCCTGATCAAAGCACTCTTTTCTCTGATCTTATGTCCGTAGAGGTAAAAGACTACCGGAATAGGTATCAGTGCGAACTCGATGAGCGAGAGCATTGTCGCACTCCAATGCGGACCAAGGCTCTGGTACATTTTTGGGCCTGCAAGGGGAAGGGCTCCACCCATAGCAGAACGCAACACGGCATTTCCAGCGAGAGCAGAAGCGGCGTAGATGCCGTATGAATGCACGAGGTAGTTAGATGCGTAAATAAAGACACCGCAGTTGCCAGCACCGAAGGGAATTCCGGCGATGAGGGGAAAGATCCAGTGGACGTTAGGAGTGCATGTCCTACACCATATGTGTTAGTAATGTAGCTTCTGAGGACGATAACTAATCGTGGAGCTGTACATACCAGGCAAAGATCATCTCGCCAACCGGGACGCAAACTGCAGCGATAACGACCACGCTGACCATGGCCTCTGGGTAGGGCTTGCCAGTCTCTGGATCCTTCTTATGACTGTTGATCATACGGCGAAGGAGAGGCTCTGAAGCTATCGTGATGACACCCCCAATACCGATACCCATGTAACCCAGTCCAACAAGTCCAGGCGACCAACCTCGGAGCTCGCCGAAAACGATAGGGTATGAGACGAAACACAAGTACAAGACTCCATAGACCAATGCTATATATACGTCCCAGAAGATGCAAATCGGTTCGTTGACCGCCATGCTAAGGGGTCGGTAAAGATTCTCCCGAAGCAGAGGCCAGAAGGCTTTCTTCTCATCGTAGCGCGAGTGGTATCGTGAATCAGAGGTTTCCTTGCGCTTGTTTGCTGACTTGGCGCGAAGGATTGCTGGTTTGTATGTTTCCGGGATCATGAAGACCATGAACCAGGATGTACCAGAGCCGATCATAACAACCCAGTTTGTCCATCGCCAACCCAGGGCTTGGAAGACGAATCCGCCAATGAGAGGTCCAATAACGGGACCATTCATTGGCCCCTAGTGCATCGCGATTAGGTTTACTCAGCAGCAACGGTTAACACAGTACTCACTAGAGACCAAATGGAGAATGCAAGGGCGCGATAGTCTTCCTTGGATATGTCGGAAACCGTGCCTGGGGCGTTGGAAATCATGGCTGCGCCTGCAATTGCGCCGAAGAAGCGCATAACGAGAATCTGGGCTAGATTGTTCGACAGAGCGCACGGTATGATAAGGACCGTGAACAAAGCGACTGCGATCAGGTAGACCGGTCTCCTGCCGTACATCTCACTAAGTGGTGCTAGGAGCAGCGATCCAATTGCAAGACCACAAAGGTAGGTTGTTATCCCCAATATTACCAGCGTCTTCGACCGTATACCAAACGTCTCCATCATACCCGGTATGCCGCTTGTATAACTCGTCGAGTACATGACTACGACTAGTGTCGAAAAGCTCATAAAGAAGACGACGAGGGCCTTCCTCAACATGGGCCATTCCTCTGGGTCCTCTCCCTCCTCATAATCGACTTCGAAGCGCGGGTCTTGCGTTGCGTTCGTAGTGACCGTTGTAATCGCATCGTCTTTGTCGCCAGGCCACGAGTGCCCGGTGTTTCTGCTCCAGGTATGATGTATAGACGGACGTTGATCTGCTACCGAATTGATTGAGTCGGAATGCGTCGACGCTGACGATATGGAGGCGCGATCATCTTCAGTTTCGATGTCTTCGATGACGCGGGATTTGTTTGAAGTATGCGACTTAGTGGATGGTGATGTGGCGTGTTCGTCTCTTCCTGGTGTTCTTGCGACGGCCGTGTCTTTGGCGAAATCGCTATGAGACATGGCGCTGATGACGACGCCGATAAAGACCCGACACGATACTGATAGCGAAACCGCACCGCAAACGAGAAGCTCTCACTGCTACTTTTGTACAGCAAAAACAGTGTAATGATAATTGAAACGAGGGCAGGGCGTATCAAGCCAGCTGATCGTGGGACATGAAGAAGTGACTCAACCACAAACTGCTGTGTCGCGCCATGGAGCTCGAGACGGGCTAGTCGCAAACGCCCTTTCGCACTTTCCCATCTTCATTGTGGCGACAAGTAATCTAGCGGGAATAAACCCACATGGAATAGCGGTGATACCTGCTTGCCTGAGGGTGTAGCAGTTTAACCGAGGAAGGCAGGTGCTGCAGCCGATATGCCGTTTGCGGGTGATGTTTGCCTCGATTGGAGAGCGAGATCGGCGCCAACTACATCGAGAGCTCGTTGTCCTCTGAGGGCCTCATTGGGTGAGTTCGAGAAAAGACAACGATTGCCATTGGAGCAGAGAGGTAAATACAATGAGAATGCGGGCTCTGGAGAAGTGAGGGGAAAGCGCTATGGTGCTAGTCTTGGAGCTAAGCAAGGGGCTGGGTAAACATGAGATGCCTCACGCGTCGTCAAACCTCTCACCACCACGCCTCTCTCAGCTATGGAGTCGTCAATCCCATCACACATCGTGGCAAAGCTCGCAGAGGTCCGTCAAAGAAATCATCGAGGGGATGTGGTGTGGATCATGCCTCTAATTTTGCCGCTACCCACTCATGCCGCGCCACGACGCGCTCCGACGACGCGCCTGCCTGAATGTCCTTGATGAGTATCCTGCCGACAGTGTAATCATTCCCACACGCTGGAAGGCCACCGAAACGAGCCTTCGCACTGTGGCTCACGATGAAGATTGACGCACCTATACTGACACGCATATACTCTCTTACAGCTTGCACACCACTGCGTCCAGGGTTCTTCAAGTCATTTCCGCTCTGTTCTCCTCATCCAGTCTTGTTGCGCTCGTTTCTTTCCTGTCCTTTTCACATCCTACGTTACACAGCGTAATGGAGTTCTGCTGATCCTTAGTCGTTTCCGCGTCTCAGTCTCTTCATGATTGGATAGTGAAAACCATCCTTATGCAGGCGTTGAAGATGGCCAAAGACAAGCGTCTGTGATTTGTGTGCCACGCCCAATCGCGAGACTCAGCCTTCTCTGTTCTCTTGGAGCTGGCGAGGCTGAGGCCTCCTCGTTGCGCCGTACAGCGCTTCGATCGACAATCTATTAGCCAGCACTCCATCCTCACGCGGTCTGTTCACCGGCGACATGAGACAATCGCTCCCACATTCCTCATAAAGCTCACTGGTCATCGTTCATCGCTGGGAGAGGCCGGTTGTGCAGTGCTGTCGCCTAATACGGAGATGCTTGGCGTCTGATTCAACCTTGGTACCTACCCTCGCTGAGTAGTCGCGTTTTCAGCAACAACCCGACAACCCGACAACCTGCCGCTTTTGTTACATCGCGACACCGCACCTTCGCTGTCTTGTAAGCTTTGACACAGAATTACCTTGCCCGCTGCCTCGTTGCAGCAGGCACTCTGAACCGTTATGGCAGCCGCCGCGCGTGTACCATTTCTCGAACAGCAGTACAACCATGTCGCGCTACCCCGCAACGTGCCTGGCAAAGAGGACGGAAACCTCCGTCGTATCGAAGAAGCCTTACTGGAGCGCATGCTGGATGCTGTCGCAAGACTCACACCTCATGTCGCTACAGATCTCGCTTCCTATATCCAAGGACTCCGGGCGACATTACTCGCATGTCAAGTGCTCAACGTGGACGGGACTATCGGCAAGGCCGCGCTGATCAAGGAGCTTCGCGACTTGAGCCATCGCAAGATGCTTGTGCTGCATATTGCACCTCAGAATTGCGCTTTGCTAGTATACCCTCAAGAACTGTATGTAATCTTCACATGCTAGCATCTACTCCACTAACTTTTACAGGAATCCTGGGGAGCACACAATCGTGTTTGAAGCTTTCGAGACATCCGCGACAGCTGACAAGGTGCTTGCTGCCAAAAGCGCGCTACAATGGAACTGTAAGTGACCAAACCTCAGGCTCGATGCTACACATATGCTATTTACTAATCTCAATCATAGTCCCTGGTTGCGCGGTATCCGTACCGGCTTCGAAATTTTACGAAGAGGCTTTCCAGGAAGCTCTTGCCACCTTCATCGAGCAAGCCAGCAGCGAGCCAGTTACGAAATTCGCTGCTATCACCTGGAAGGCAGCCGCAACTATACCAGAGATCCGAGATACCAGTGATCCGGCTCTCATATCAGGCCTTTTGATGACCATACTAGAGGCCAATGGCACTGCGGTCTCAGTACCATGTTTACGAAAGCGTGTGCGCGACACCGTCGTCTTTGATAATGCTCGTACGCCGTAGAGGAGATCCGCTTTCTACCTGGTCTTACGAGTAGCAGTTCAGCGCTACTTATACTATCACCTAGGTGCAGAGGTCGGCAGACTCTACTACAAGACACTGATGTGTCTTCTGCATGCACAGCTGCTGGAGAACATCCTCAAGAGGATACCTCTCGACGCGGTCTTCTCGTTTCGACAGAAGCTAGGTCGTCGCCTTGCTAAGCTTGCCTCTGATGTCCATGGAGCCAACAGGTCGTCCACAGGCAGATACGCTAATCTTCTGCTCTCTTTCGAAAGCAGCTTCGAGACTACTCTAGCCACGACTGGAGGATACCTAAAGCGAGTCTGGCGCACTCACAGGGAGTCGCGGGAACGATCCATTCCATTGTTACGCCAGTACGCCCTTCCACATGAGTTCCACCTTCGCATGAAGAACAGCGGCAGATTCTTGAGGGGTGTTTTATCTGCACGTCCACCCTATTCAAGGTCTGAAGAGCAAACATCTGACGAACGTTTACAATCATACCTCCAGTCGAAGGCTTCTGTCAAGCCTTACATGAAAGCTGTTTCCAGCCACATCGCTTCTTCAAAGCTTGTCGAGGATGTGATCTTTCCCGCCAAACAATCAACGCAACCTGAAGGTCTTCTTGCCATACAGAT